CGTGGCCACAAAGTTAATCAAAATTTTTAGACTGTGAAACGATTTTTACTCTTGTTGCAATCAGCAAAGTTACATAACGGTTATCTTGAGGATTGTGGGTTGTTTGCTTTGCTTTGAATACATTTTCTTAACAGTTGGTTATTTATCTGTAGCATATCAAAAAATTTTGAAGATTGGAGCACATTGTTTTTTTGACTTTTGGCATCCTAAAAGTGGAAAAAGTTACACTGTGCGACGCCTCAATAAGGGCTTATGGTTGTTGTATTTACATTCGAAGCCAATTCGCTAATGATGTTAAATGCATTCTGCTAACTGCAAAATCCAGGGTTGCTCCGCTGAAGACTAAGTCTCTTCCTCGTTTAGAGCTCCTGGCAGCGCATCTTTTGGCCAAGTTATGGTCACGCATTGCGCCAATGTTGAATCGACCTATTGACAGCATAACATTCTGGACAGACTCCGAAATAGTTTTGCATTGGATAAAAACACATCCATCAACGTTGCAAACTTTCGTTGCAAATAGAGTGTCCGAGATTCAAGAGTTGACTCAAAGAGCTTCGTGGTGGCATGTGCCAACTAAACAAAATCCTGCGGATCAAGTGTCTCGGGGTTGTAGCGTGGATGAAATACAGAACTCAATATGGGTTTCTGGCCCACAGTTCCTCTTAGAAGACGCCGCAAGTTGGCCAATAAATACCCATTTCAAATTAACGCCTGAAGAACAAGCACTGGAAAAGAAGAAAAACGCCAGCGACTTAATAGCAGTGAGTGATAACCGTAATCCACTCTTAACTGTGATTGAAAAATATTCCTCGCACAAAAAATTATTACGAGTTTTTGCCTATATTCTGCGATGGGTCTTAAAGGTGAGAGATCGATCCACCAAATATGATCCAACACCATCGGCACAAGAGTTGCAATTAAGCTTCTTAAAAATTGTTCAAATAGTCCTATTTGATGAATATAGCCAAGAAATTACCAAATTGTCAAAAAATCTACCACTACCGTCGAGCTTGCAAAAGTTGAATCCATTTTTGCATGAGTATTCAGAAAAGTCCTTGTCGTTGAAATTGTTACGAGTAGGCGGTCGTTTATTAAATGCGCCTATCCCGTACGATGCCAAATTTCCTCTATTATTGAGTAAAAATTCGCAGTTCGTGAATTCGTATATACGGTTCCTACATTTGCGCAACCACCATGCAGGTGCGAAAGCATTGNCCCTACATTTGCGCAACCATCATGCAGGTGCGAAAGCATTTGTTGCAATTTTACGTGAAAAAAATTGGTTAGTCAATGCTCGAGAAGCATGTAGTCGAACCGTGCGAAACTGC